ATTCTCACTGTAATAAAAGATATTTTGTGTGTTTGAATATTTCTGGCACTTGTCTTTATTCTGGACATGTATCCAAACAAACTGTTACACCCCGATGCAGACACCCAAGGGACAGAGAGGTGAGGAGGCAGACCCCCATGCCTGCCTGCCCCTTCCCCTGCCGAGCCACATGCCCGATTGGACACAGCGGCAAGTGATGGGCAGGCAAAGCAAGGCAAGGGAGGGGGCAAGGCAAGGGAAGGTGAGAGAGGGTGTTTGTTTTAACACCAGCCGGAAATTAAACTCCAAATAAGCCACGCCCCTTCCCCTGCCCCTTCTGGTAAGGGAGGGACAAAAGCTGAGACTACAGGTTGAGATGATAATTTACTGAAAGCACAAAGGAATGAAATAAGACATACACAATAACAGCAGCAGAATTAATAGCAAAAGTATATGAGAAGAGAAGGGGTTTTACCCAAAAAGAGATGTTCACCACCCAAAAAAACCCAAGACGGTAGACGCTCCCTGTAGGTCGTGTCCATGTGGCTTCCCCAGATAAAGGCCATACAGGGTGTTGCCCATGTGGCCGATGAGAACAAAGGCAAGATGGCAAGATGGCCATTAGCATTTGTCACCCTTCTGCCTGAAATAACAAAAACCGATGACAAACAAACCCCACAAAAGCTGCCATTCAACACATGTCGATTTGCATTTCGCCGCTGTCCTTTCAGCACCATGTCCTGTAGTTGCGTTCCGGCGAAAAATGGGAGGGGGATGGGTGGGGCAGTGGGGGCTGAGTCCGCAGGGGCAGATGCTGACGACTTCCCAGAGGGAGGCAAAATGGCACACTTCCAGCAGGGCACCTTGTTGAGGACCAAGAACCAGAATGGGAACGATTCCAGAAATGGAAAAATATGTATAGCGATTGAACGGACTTTATGATGCAGGCTTTATAGTTATTATGTATACACACATCATATGTTCTCCCAGAATTTGTATCTTCTGGGCACATCCAGGCCTGTTCACCTCCCTGCTCCTCTGTTTCTCTGCCGATTGGCTGGAAAAGCTGTAGACAGGAGACAGCCCCCATTCGCCCTTTCCTCCCCTGGTTCCTCCTGCGCTCCTCTCCTTTTTGCCCGTGTCCCTACCTTGGTTGGTCCCCTCGCTTGTCTGTCTCATGCTCTGCCCTATGTTCTGGCCCTTTCCCCTCCTGAGCTGATAAAAGACCGGGTGCACACCTGAATAAAGTATTCTACCTGCATCCCACCCTCGTGTCCCGGACTCGTGTAATGCCACGGTCCTCCCCCCCTTTTCGGACCGCGGCATATGGCTCCCAACATACGGCAAAGGTAGAGGTCATTATCTTAAAAAACCTCCCACACGCCACAAGGGCTCAGGTAACGCGGAGAGAAGCCTTTTCGTCCCACTGGTCCTTCCTGGCTGAACCCCAGATCATGACAAGACGGCCACCACACCGAGAAAGGTGAGCACCGGGAAAAACCTCTAATCCCATCTCCCACCCTCCCCCCCAAAAAAAAAAAAAGAACCAGCTGCAGACTAATAGAAGCCTAAGTAAATCCAAAACTGTGGGCCTCTCACTATCAACCCCTCAAAAGTTTGTATACCACAAGCTTAAAGACTTTATTTTGGAAAACGGACACCCCTTATACAAAAAATATGCAAAAGCCCTTGCTAAATGGCTTGAAAATGGAGGGGAAACAGTCTCCAACAGCATGTCTCTAAAAGACTGGGAAAAAATTGGATATAATATCTGGAGAGCAAAAGAGAGAGGAGACAAAACTGCTACTGAGGCATTAATCGCCTGGAGACTGATTCTGATGATGCTACAGCATCAGTTGACGAGTTCCAATGAAAATCTCCAAGAATCACCATGAAAATATAAAAAATCCAACTCAAAATCCCCGACAAAGGACAGGCCCCGGGAAAACGAGCATGGCAGGAGGGAGAGAAGCGGTGCGGGGAACACGCGGTTTTGGCAACATGGCGACGGTGGGGGGGAAGATGGGGGGAAGATCGTGGGAGCACATGCCGAGTGGCAGAACGACGCGCAAACTTTTCGCACGCGCTCCGTTGGCACCAGCCCCCAGCCTGCCTCTGCGCCCACCCCCCTACACCCCTGGCACGCCTACGGGCCCTCCCACCAGAACGCCCTCTCCCTTCAGCACCGCCTTTACCCCCACGTCATCACCCTCCCGGGGTAGACAGAAACTAAGGGGGAGGGCCAGGACCTCTTCTGAAAATAACATCTGGAAAGATGACCGCGCCCATGAAGCTTTTGTTACCGAGGCTCTCAGCAGTTGCAGGATGGCAAATGCCTCTCTTCCATGCAATGATATTTGGAAGACTTTCCGGACAGAAGCCGCACAGGCTAACGACGCCGAGTTTTTAAAAGCCTTTCCAATTTATCTAGAGGAGGGTCAAGCTCCAGAATGGTGTCCGGTGTCATACCCTATGTTGAAAGACATCAAAAAAGCAATTGTAGAGTACGGTCTAGGTTCACCTTATAATGTTGGGCTTTTTGAATTGTTTTTCCTTGCCTGCCGTTTAATACCGTATGATATCAAAGCAGTAATTAATGGACTGTTATCGACTGTGCAAGCGTCCGTTTTTGAGGTGGAATGGAAACGGCTTATAGTTAAATATGTCAA